AATAATTAAGAGGAAATGAATTCAAGAGTAAAATAATATATCCCTTTATCATTTTGCGAAATTAAAGTAGTTTGCAGCCGAAGGAATCCTCCTGGCATTGCCGTACAAAATTGTTTTCACTATCATTATTATTATCATTATTATTGTTATTATTATTATTTTATCATTATCATTATTATTATTATTATCATTATTATCATTATTATTATTATTATCATATCATTCTCATTATTATTATTATTGTTATTATTATTATTATTATTATTATTATTATTATTATTATTATTATTATTATTACTTATACCGCACTTTTCCCATGAGACCTAAAGCGCTTACATAAAATTGTAATAAGAAAAACAATCTTACATCTACAAACTGCAAAAAAGGATGTGTTTTCAAGGCCTTTCTGAAGGTAATAACTAATGAAGACTGTTTAATTCTAAGTGGTGTATTATTCCAGTAGCTTAAAGCAGAAAGAGTAAATGTATGGATAAATGTCCTATCACCGGCTAATGTGCGAGTAACTGAATATGTGAGACGGAGAGGATCACTCAATGCCCTGGTAGGTGTATGTAAATTCAAACAGGTATCTAAATATTTTAGAGCTTTATCGTTGATAATTTTGCAGACAAACAAGAGAAATTAAAAAAGTATTCTTCGTTTCAAAGGAAGCCAGTGTAGTGGTCTTGTTATTTTGTAGCCGTTGCACACGATCCATTAATTTAGTCGAGGGAATGGTAGAGAGACTGAAGCCCATGACAATAATCAACACGGGATAGAACTAAAGAACGCACATCATTAGTTTTCATGCATTTATTTGTAGCCTATATATTTTACTTGTTTTAACGCGTTTCATTTTAATTCTGTTTCAATTCTTACACTTATATTTCCTTCTCTCAAGCTTAATCAAAATGTTAACATTCTGCAAGTTACTTCAAAAGCAGAATTGAGAGAAAAAATAATTGACAAAGAGGGTAATTGTCGGTATTGTCAATAAACCCCTAAACCCTCTTTTATGCAGCCCTTTGTCATAACCTATTCTATCTCATTTGGGTACAGACCGGAACTGATAAAGAAGTCTACAAACATCGCTTTTATGTTCATTGTTTTCTTTGTTGCCTTTAATGGGTATAATTATCTCTGGCAGAGATACTGAAAGAAAACCCCAAACACCCTGGAAAACGCGAAAAGACGATCTCTGACACGCGAACATTCTTCGCTGGAATTAAGAAGCATTTCACATACGAATTTGTTAATCTTCGTCAGCATGGATCACAATTTTGCAAGAGATGAATAAGAGGTTCTTTGCTATATGAGTTTTTATCATATAGGTGTATGAGGAGGGGGCCACGGGGCTATAGCCCTCCCCCACCCCAGAATGTTGAAAGTAACCATTAGGCAGAGACGTGGTCTGTTTTTATGACTTCAAAGAATCAAAGTAGCAATTTTGTCTTAATAAGTATTGTTAACTTATGAAAGCGAAATTCGATATTCCGAAGATGTTGATATCCTTTATTTTTTTTATTTTTTCTGTTTTATTTCATTTCATTTCATTTCTGGAGATGCATTTGCTTAATATAGCCGAATATTCCTTTTCTCCGAGTTTGACTGATTCTTTCATATTATGAATGTGACTAACTGAAGATTCATATACTTAAAAGATAAAGACTGTTAAAGGTAATACAAAGTTTTGGGAATTTTTGAAAATTGGGTGGATAGTGATTCTTTACAATTTTGGTATATTTGGATGCCCCTGTGGATTTATTATAAGCACTAGAAAATTTAGCTCCTAAAACACTTCTGCTCTCGAGAAAAATTGAACACCAAAATGTACCGATGCTCCCGGTAAATTTTGATGAATTTCAAATAGCGCCTTCGATCGTACAATGGTAGCTGGCTTATTTTTAAACGGGGATATCTAATCGGTCGATTTTAGTCAAGAAACATTGTTTTATAGCTTAATTAATTTCTTGACCTTAAGAGGGAGCTATACAACATATCTAGTTTGTTATTTACAATTTCATAACTTTAGACTCGATTTCAACCGCGACAACGATCACTGAATATTGTAGGAGCGCATATGCTTCCAATATGTTCATTTGGACCAAATTCATGACCCCATAACGAAACTTTGTATTACCTTTAATGCTCTTTCAGATATGAAATGGGAACTGCACGCAACAAAAAGATTATTTATGTATTCACTGAGCTCTGGAAATGCACGTCATCTAAAAAATAAAAGTGAAAGAAATCTTTATCAAAATAAAATTCGTTGAAATAGAATTGGATATATTTACTCAAAGATTCGATACTCTGGATTCACAACAGGAACTGAAAAAACAGAATAATATTAATACATGTACTTCCAAATATGGGTAAACTTTCGCTATTCCAAAAATACTGATACCTTCTTTTTTGGTAATGTTTGGCAGGGGTATTTTATTTAAAGTCTAATTTACTCATGTGTTCTGTCTTTGTTTGGATTAACGAAACATGTTTCTTTTACCAAATTATTATTTCTGCGATTTACCACTTCAGTTTCCTCCCTTTAAACCTGTTCCGGTAATTGACTGACTAACAAACTATGTGGAGAAACATTATTTGAACGGAATTCTCCTTTCCTTTATTTGGATCGTAATGAACCCACTATAGCCCTGATTAAACATCCTTATCTAATTAAAACATTTATAAAAACAAAACTTGTTTGCTGTATTTTCGGAAGTGGATTAGTGCCATTGAAACATAAAAGTACTTCTTTAAACTCGTTTGTTTTTAATTGTGTGCTCAATGTTTGGTTTGGTTTTGTTTGTTTGGTCGTGCGCTTTCCGTATATAGAACAAAGATGTGCCTTTTTTTCGTTCCCTTTTGGTAGAATGAAGATACACTTTCCCTTTTAATAGTGTTTAAGTTAATGTGCACGCAACATGATGGCTTTGCATTTTGCGATATATTGTACAACCATGTATAAGAGATCAATAATGGAATGGAATGGCGGAGGGGGGGGGGGGGGGGAAGAATGTTTTTCTTCTCATAGTGACAAAAATCCTACATCAGTTTCCCCCTCGCTTTCACTCTTCTGCACTTGCTGTTGTGTCTCTTTTTACCCCCTTCTCTCTCACTCTCTCCTTCTATGCCCATTCTCTCTCTCTCTTTCTATCCCACTCTCCTTCTACACCTACTCTCACCCTCCCTATATGCCCCCCACCCTTTCTCTCTCTCTCTCTCTCTCCCTCTCCTTCTCCTTCTCTCTCCCCCATCTCTCTCTATCTCTCTCTCCCTCTCGCCATTTTGTCTCTCCCTGTATCTGTCTTAATCTCTTTACCTTGCCTTCTTCTATATACGTCTCCCTTCTTTCGTTCTCCATTCCTCAGTATGTGTAATATCGCCGCAATCCCCATCCATGAAATACAATTGTTCTAATTTCAGGTTAGTTCCATCATTTTTTCACGAAATAAAGCCCAAGTTCAATATGTAGCTGAAAGCGAGCCGATCTTGTAAACTCGAGTTCTTGTCACGGTGTTCAAAGCAAAGGTGTATTAATTCATTCTGGGAAAATATATTTTGATTGTAATTGCATTTCTTTTTCTCACAGACAATACTATTTTTTTAAACCTAGGGCTTATGTCAATAATGAGAAATATAGACAATCTGGTTTTTATTTTAAAAAGGGCGTTTCCTCAACACCTCTGTATCAGCACAATTTACAAACATGCCGAATGATTTCCACTAAAATGAAACACTCAAGCCTGATATAATATTTACGATTAGCATGCCGATTTATTTACATTCAAACACAAGTGTAAACTAGAGGTAGAATTGCCTTAAAAATACATTTGTTATGATTATCTGCCATCGAGTAAAATTTATTGAAGAAATAAATTGATAAAGCAGTTTTATTTGGTAACAAATTACTAAATTGTCGATTCATGAGTCTCTATTTCTTTTACCGCCATCAAAACAAAATAATTGCAAAGATTCCATATTATTTGCACAGTAGCAAATATTCATTATTCTATATCTATGTTGTATTAATATATTTGATCAGATGATTATTGCATGCTCAAAACATGAATAAATTTCATATGTGCAAAAATCGTATATTATCGTATTTCCGAAAATTCCCGATGAATAATTATGCAAATATATTCACATTATTTTTGTAACTTCTTATTTTCATTTCTTTTCTGTTGTTAAACGAGTGTATGAAGCCCACATTCTGACGAGACTGTTGTGCTTTCCTTAGATCACAACACATGAAGCCAATTGTTTTCAAAGCTGCCAATTAAAGCAGTCTGAAGCTCAGCTAAACATTATTCACCGAATTGTACTCTTCAAAATGAAGTATCGAGAAAGAAGATAGACTAATGCGTAACACTTAGCAGGACTACCCTTTTATTGTCGTTTGGTTACAACTAATTATAGTGTGCTTAGAGTCCTACAAAAGAGCCGATTCATTGTTAATTAGGAAGACGGGATGGGTACATGTCGAGCAGCCGGGATGGGTTCTATGCATAGTGGCCCGAGAACCGTTGCTTTCATTCACCGTGGTTCGGCTGAATGGTTTTTAGCATGAATGCTTGAATTGCGAAACAATGCGCGCGCATGTTGAGCTAGGGGTCTTTGAAAAGAGTGTCTGATTAGTGTGGCAAGGCGAGAGTAGTGTCTGGGAAGGTAAGGTCTCAAGTATTTAAGATGTCTGGCTCACTTTCACCTTCATTATTTCGTCAGAAACTCTAACCAAGACAACATCACGCTAACAATTTCTCAAGTACTCTCAAATTTGAAGTAAAAAATTAATTAAAGTCACAAAGTGTGTTTGTGCAAGCTTCGACAAGAGATTATTGAAAGATTACCTGCAACGCTCATCATCAGCCTGGACTCACCTCATCATCAGCCTGGACTCATCTCATCAAAGGGTTTCTACATTTCAGAGAGCTGAGACATCCCAGTGACGACATCGTTCCAGCGAAGCTTCGGAATATTTTTAAGGACTTTTAACCATGCATCGTTCATCGGATCTCCACTTGGCGGCTGTCGTCTGCTTGTTTTTTGTCACATCAGTGAGTGCCTTTTTTGCTCCATTCCTACATGAGACGGCCTCATCTCTGAGCGACGACGTCGTGGCCTCAAGTCGCACCAGACGGAATACTCTACCTCTTATCACACCGGACGCCCTCATCAGCGTCGATCAGCATACGAACTCGTCGACGATGTACATGGTGGAATTGTTTGAGTCTCTCTACACTGGACATAATCTTGTCAACCCATCCAAGGAAGAATGCCAAGCCATTGAGGAGGCGGACACAGTACGGAACTACATTGGTGCCATTCAAGGTAAGAAAACAATTGTGAATCTTATTATCTATTTCGACAATATTTGATATTATATATTTCACGTGTTGTATGTGCTGTGTGTGGGTAAATCATGCGATTCAATGCGAGAATCTAGTTGGTAACAAGGATAATAATTCTTGTTGACGAAAATAGAATATTTCTGGTTGTAAAAGTTGATAACAAACATTTACAAAATGGCATTTAATGACCAGTTTCTGATTAATAAAACAGAAAGAAAATTATTATGAAGATTGCATGATTTATTTACATTTCGATTTGTGTTCGATTGATTCTTGCTGGTTGTTGAATAATCCATTTTACATTAACTTCTCCGTGTTTGTTATCAAAGTCGCGGTAAGGTTTCAATAGATTGTTTACATTTTCAGGAAGCAATAAAAATCTTAAGCTCACGCAAAATTTACTTTTTGTTTGTTTATGACTTGATTAAGTGCATTACGTTCGGATGTTTGTTCTAAAGTTTGTAAGGGCCATTAGAACATCGTATGGTATATCGCTTCGTGAAAACTAAACATAAAGTAGTGTTTATTCAGCATTAGATAAACAACTTTGAATGATATGTATGTAAGGTTAATTTGGTATTGTTTCAATTTTGCGGGCAAATGTATTTCAGTTGAGCGAAATCAAAATTACTTTCTTACTATTTACGGGAAGATTAGACTATCGTGCACATGTGCTAGTCGAGTCTTTTTCATTGACTTTGTTTTTGAGTCTCTCCCCCCTCACCTCTCAAACACCTGTACGAAGTGGCTGTAAATTCTGCCCCAAATTGTTTTCTAATTAACTCGTCTGAGCCTTTCCGTTACCGGATAATCTATCAAGGTGAAAAGAGGCATTCATCATGAAAACGATTAACCCTTTCACACCCGCTTTATCACAAAGAAGAAGAATAAAAGGGATGGGACGAGACTCTTTTGTTCGAGGGTCCATCCGAACGCCGAAGTTCGAGTCCTCTGTGTGGGGAGCATGGCGGGGGTAGCGCTTTTCATTCGAGTGGTTGCTTTAATAGCCTGGCTTCTGAAGCCTTTTGTGGGTCGAGACTGAATGAGTTAAACTATGGGCTCTCAGAACAAAGCCCAAAATTGATACGTCGCACTAGTACACTGAAATGGCTGGGTTAATAATATTCTCGTCTGGTATCGAGCTGGGATGTAGACATAACTATTAATATGATTTGCCATCGGTTCTTCATAAAATGTAATGTCATTACCTTACTTTGACTTGTATAAAAACAAATGTATCTTGCTTGTCTGTTGATAATTTAACTAATCAAATGTTCTTTTCTTTCTTTTTATTTCAGATGTCAAATCTTCTTCCGACCTTGTGATGACATGGGTGACCTCTTTCCCGACGTTTGACCAGCCCGCCAACGAAGCTGTCCATCTCAGCGAGCTCCGAGTTGAACTCAATGCCACCTCAGAGCAGTCGCATCGTTTCGTCATCCAACTCCACCAGTGGGTCAACGTCTCCTGCGACGACGGCATGTGTCAGCAACGCAAGCTGATTCATTCAAGGGACATCGACGCTCGCCACGACGACTTCGATGGCAGGGAGGTGTTCGACATCACCAAGATCGTCAAACAGTGGATCGCAACGACCAAAGACGCAACATCCCCAATGGAGTACAGCATCGAGCTACGCGCCAAAGCACTCATCGAATCAGAAGCTGACCACGACAAGAATGTTCTCAAAGCCCTTCTTGCAGCCGACATTCAAACAGAAGATGTCTTGGATGATATCGCACTTGACTCTGACGATGTTTCGAGCGAAGACCACGGAGCTACCAATCAGCTCTCCGTTACTGACGTGACGCTCGTCGTCTTTTCTCGTGCCCCTACCTCTCCGATCATTCTCTCCGATGCTCACGGTTCGGTGCGTACCCGTGCTCGACGATCAACAGATGAAGCTCGTCGCCGCAAGAAGCAGAAAGATCTACGCAAGCTTCAACGCGACGAACACAAACACAAAATGGACGAAAAGCTTCGCTTGGAACGAGAGCAATCTGGGCCTTGTCGTCGAATTGATATGGACGTTGATTTCGGTCGAATCGGCTGGGACGAATGGATCATCTACCCAAAGCAGTTCAACGCCTACCGTTGCGTCGGTACGTGTAAGGGACCTCTTGACAGCCGCGACAACCCAAGCAACCACGCAGTCATGCAGGACCTGGTTCGACTCCACCAACCCGAGAGACGGACACCTGAACCTTGCTGCGTACCAACTATACTTCGACCACTCAGCATGCTGTACTTCGAGGAGGGAGCAGTCTTGGTTCGACATCACGAGAACATGATCGTAGAGGAGTGCGGTTGCCGGTAACGTGACTAGGCCTTTGCCTTGAACTCTGAACTCTTACAATTTGCCAAACTCTTTTGAACGCCCACATGGATTGGGTGATCAAGTAGACTCGATCAGCAATCTTAAAGAAACTGCAATCTTGGCTCTTTTTATTATCGTATTTTTTTTGTTAACCCGTCGATTGATTTTCTTTGCGATTTTTACTTGTTTTATATTTACCTTATGAATGAATGTATTTTTCATAAGTTTTTGCAGACTTCGAAACAATTGAATACGAGAGGTACATGGCACATGGGGGCGCGGTACCACCTAATTTTGTGGGGAGATATTACCCGCACAAGTTAGACGCATACAACAAAATCTAGAATTGAGAGACGGAAAATGCGTTATCGAAGTTTGATGAACGTTTTATTATCAAACCATTCATGATATTTTCAATTTCATCGACTTTCCAAGGTAATACAAATAGAAATAATGTACTCAGTACTATAGTAATTATGTTCTTCTACAAATTTGGATACATAATGTATCCGAGCACATAGCCCTAGCTATGCATTTTAAAATGTACTTTTATTTATTGTATATTTGTGTGTAAATTATCAATTCAGAGAATATGCATATTATTAAAAATAAAGCAATTATAAATTCAAAAACCTTTGTTATGATTCTTGATTCATTTGTGACCTCTTTAATAAGTATGTAAATGCTTACATAAGAACTGTTACTAACGGTAATTCCAATTCTAAATGGCAAATCTAAACCTCTAGGTAAGTATCACGAAAAAAGCTGGTAAGTACATTCTCCTGTTTAAGTAGGAAATCCTTCAACATATGTATGGACCGAGTCAAGAGAATGCTTAACACATGAGAGAGGAGAAAGAGAAAGACATTCTAGATTGAGAGAGAGAGCGAGAGAGAAAGAGAGAGAGAGAGAGAGAGAGAGAGAGAGAGAGAGAGAGAGAAAGAGAGAGAAATATAGAGGAGGGTTGGAGTAGAAAGAGAGATACAAAGAGGGGACAAAAAGTCTGGAAGGGCCATACATGTACAATGCATGTTTTAAAGACGATCAGTCTCACTCATCAAGAAAGATTCTAATTTTAATTTTATCAAATTTCTCAACTTATTCAAACTTGTGAGAATTATTATGTACATAGGAAGACCAAAAGAGCTGCATCGCTCATGCGCCATGTTACTTTGACAATATTTCAGGGGGAAAAAAGAAAAAGATATATGTGGCCATATTTTTTCGTTATGATGGACTACATACATTCTTTTGCAGTTCCAAGTGCAAGTAGTAGCCACGCACTCAATTTCGTGCAGTGAAAACATAATCGCACTTTCTTTCTTTTGTTAAAGAAGAGGTTGAAAAGAAAAAAAAAATTGGTGATGGTGGACTAACATTGAGTAAAACAGCATTTGCAGTGTCAAGTGTGATGCAATTAATAGCCACATAATCACTTGTGTGACGTGTAGGCACAATTGCACTTTTTTTTAAAGAAGAGGTAAAAAAAAAAATTCAACAAAAAAATGAACAAAAAAAAATCAGAAAAAGAAAATTAAAAAAAATCAACAAAAAAAGTTCAAAAAATAAAAATCAAAAAAAGAAAAGAAATCGGTGATGGTGGTCTAACATTAAATACAACTTTAGTATCAATGCTTACTAGAAACTAGACAGTGTGTAGTGTAGACACAATTGCACTTTTTTAAAAGAAGAGGTAAACAAAAAAACATTACCTTCTCTCTTCACATTTTCAATTGATTTACCTGGGCCAGAAAAGCGGTATAATCGTTGGGAGGGTGTCTTTCTACTGGTAAACATTAAATTCAACTTCAGAAATCAATCCTTACTATAATTACTACTAGGCAGTGCTACTGTAAACATCAACGATTTTTTTCAAAATTGTACTTCCAAAACAGGAATGTTAAAATGGAATGCACAACTATCTTCGACCTAGTACACACTAGGCGGTGTCACATAGAAAAATAACTTTAAAAATCCCTTGAAAAATCCTTTCAAGGGAGAATTTTCTTGCTTCGTTAGAGGATTTTTAATGTGAATTGATGACAGACAGCAATTAAGAGGATAAATAAAATCTGGATTTTGGGGGACAACGCCTACTGATTTCCCATTTGTATGACAGGCTCAAAGGTACAGTTTAAATCTTACCTTCCCATATGACAACAAAATTAATCCAAAAGGATTCAAACATTGGAAATTATTTCATATCAACCCCATGGGACTATTTCCAACATGTTTATACGTTTCAGTCGATGATGCACAGGCTCCTAAATATCAACTTCTCTTATGATCAACAAAAACAAAACTTATTTAATCAAAGTGAACTAAAACAGTAATTATTTTTCAAAATAATGAGAAAAAAAACCTTGACCAAAAAATGTCTGCTAACATTTTTCCCTGGCACCATAAGCAGTATTTGAAGAAAATAAAGTAAAAGGTTTGTTTGGTATGCATGATAATATTCATACATAGTTTCATAGTAAAACAATTTGATAAATTCTCTATACGTTGCCAGTTCTAAACTTCCAATACATACTTCTATAGATGCACTCATCTGAAAAGGGGCAACATTTTGAATAATATATATTGCATAACTCACATTTTCACAATTGTAAATCTGTTTTTGATAAGGAAAATAATCTTGCTTGTCATAACAAACTCAAATTAAGCAGAGCTAACACCTAGTACCATTAGTGTTCGCTCAGATGCCACTTTTAACCTTAAGCGAATGCAGCTATCAAATCAGTATTACCAACAACTTATTTTTTTAATGACAAATAACATTGTTTTACTAACATAAAAGATGAAATCGTTTGCAGAATACCACCCCACACAAACCTTATCTTAGTTTAAAAAACATTAATCACATATCTAAGAAACTTTCAAATATACAAATAAAAAACATAATGTTAAGGTTACCTAATCTCTCATAAACAGTGAAAGATCTATTGATCACATGTTCCCTAACAATGGAATGTTCATACACTTTACTATAATATAGTTATATATATATATATATATATATATATATACTATTCTTAACAAGAGGTCATCTTGTTCAAAATATATTTATTAAAGGTACTATGTCCCATTTGCAGGCCCCCAAAATGAAAAGGTTAAATTCCAATGTCATTTGAAAGATAATACTAATTTAGAACTCCCCTTAAAAGAATGGGGCTTGAAAGGACACTGCTAACGTTTAAATTTCACAGATAGGATATACATGACATATTCATAATTCCTGCAAAGTTCTACAGAATTTGAGGGTTGGCTGCAAAAGGGACATAGTATCTTTAACAAGTGGTCATCTTGTTCAAAATATATTTATTAAGAAGAAAGCAATTTACACAATTATGTGACCTTGACTGAAATGTGCTAGCATTCATTAGTCCCATTCTATTTCTATTCAAAGAGACAAAGAAAGAGAATAGATAGAGTGAGAGGTGACTACAATGTAATAATAATATTCCACTTTTATATAGCGCCCAATACATCGATAAAACCAGGCACGTACGCAGTTTTTTTAATATGTATGTTTTTTGAGAAAACCCCCCCTTATGAGTTGTGATTTTCTCCTTTTTTTTTTTGGTAAATATCTTTTGGTTAAAAAAAAGAAAAAAAAAGAAAATCCCAATGGACGACCTAAAAAAGATGACCTTACCCCCCCCCCCCCCCCCCCAACGAAACGGAATGTCGATCGGTCAAATTTTCAAATTTTGGGACCAAGAAAAAAAAAAATGTCCGCTTAGTCAGCGGCTGGCTGAGTCGTTGCGAAATTTTTGGCCCGATTTCAAAATATTAAACCCCCCCCCCCTTGAAAAAATCCTGCGTACGCCACTGGATACAACGATGTGTATCTAAGCGCTTAACAGATATATGATTACCCCGGTTATAGTGAGTGGTATCGATGAAGAGGTGTAGGAGAAGAGTGGTTTCATAAATTGACTTGGAATGCCAAGGTTGTGGGTTCAAGCCCCATCATCTGTCCTCAGGCAGTGTATGTTGTCTGCATTGCTCTCCACACATGTGTTAAATGGGTAATGGATATTAAAAAGCAGCATATAATTCGATATACGGTGTGTTAAAAAGTATCTCTACTAATTTAAGAGTGTTCGATATCAAATTTGAATCGCGCCTCCATAATCATTACTATTAGAAGCACCAGTAACAACAAAAATTGGAAAAATAGTACTATAAGATATCAAAAATCCATATTTGCAATCATTCAATCTAACTACTCTAAATATTTAGAGATTCCATGTATTGAGTTGGTTTTACTAGACGCAGAAGAATGAGAGGAACAGGTCAGTGAAAGTTTGAAAAAAATTCCATATCTAAAATAATAATAATAATAATTTTGAACTTGCGATCAATCAAACATTGATCAGCAACAATGCAACGTATCTTGCTCGGTCATCTCCCATTTGCTCTGTACATAAAATTTCATAAACTATCATTATATTAGTTATAGATGATAGAATAAATGTTTTCCATACATGGGTTGTACAGAAACATATTTGCAATAATTATATTTAGAGTGCTTGTCTCATTGAACGTTTTCTAGAGGAAAAATAAACATTTCTGATTAAATGGGAGGGGGCCTTGCAATATACATCACAGAGCTGTTAATTTGTGTTTGGTAGATTGCAACTTCAAAAAAAAAAAAAAAAATAAAAATAAAATTCATCAGGATTTGCTCAAGCTTTCACTACCCTGTGTTTCTCATTTTTCTGCTTAGAAATCAACTCAATATCAGGGCGGTCTCCGTCTTTCATATCTACCACAAGTTGGCAAGATTTGTTTATCAAGTTTTACCCATAGAGACTTGTTCACACCCAATGCACTTGAATGCCTCAAAAGAAAATCGCTGGAGCATAATAAGATTATTGCACTTCACATTATCTGTTCCGTTTTACACATCAATTAGGAATCATGCTTAACAGTCTTTTTAGTGAGGTTACTTTATTTTCATCCACTCATATCTATCATTCATTAACATGAAAATATGTTTCCAACATTAATTTTGCTCTTTTTTTTTCGGGGGGGGGGGGGGGGAGGGTATGTGGCTTAGGTAACTTAGTGAAATATAGTGGCACAAAAATGGAATGCAAAATGCATAATTGTAAAAATCATAATTTTATGACACAAAGTAGAACCATATCATTAGGATATGGAGCTGGTAAATATATATCTTGATCAGGCTCTATGTTACCTAAACTTACATTCAGATACGTTAAAAAATAACTTTTAAGTAACAGACATCACTACTTATGGTGCCTTTTGTATTCCGGATGCATCTTTTCATGCCACTACGTTTCGCTAAGCTACCTTACGGCATTAAAGATAAAGGTGAGCTCTGGTAAAAAAAGAAAATGAATTCTCACAGAATCAAACGAAACTTACAATGAATGTTCGAGATTACAAATAAATGTCATTTGCCCAAATAATTTTGGTAGAAAATGTATACTGGCTGAGTAATGAGCATAGAAAGATAAGGAAATCAAGGTTAGTAGCCCCGACATCATTTGTGTAGTCCCATATACATCTTTCTGTGTACAGTGCTTGTTACTTTACCAAGACTGGGCCAAATTTATTATGATTTTGATGACTCCAGAACTTTGCAGTACACACCAATACTTACATGCTACATGACCAACTTTTTCTGATCCATCCACACCTTTTCTTTCACAATGCAATCGGATGACCAGAACTCACCTTTATCTTTAAATGTGAACAAGGCTTAATGGTGGTGGTGGTGGTGGTGGTGGAGGGGGGCACGGTCTTACCCCTCTGGAGGAGCTGCTACATTTGCCTGTGTAAACATACTGTCCATGGTATTCTGGAAGGCTGGTGGAGCAGGGGTGGGGGTTGTCTTGTTGGGTGTGACTAACGTGTAGGCGGTTGGAGGAGCTGTGGTAGTAGGAGCGTAGTACTGCTCATGATTGAAGACGAAGATGTCGGTGGTGATGCACTGGAAGATAATGACGCTAGCCACCAGGATGATGAACCAGAATTTATTGGCACTCTGGAAGAGAATATCAGAAGAAAATGAGAGACAAACCTTAAAATGTATACAATAGGTGAAGTGTATGGCAGCATATTGAACCAACTTTTATTGGCATCCTAGTACACTGTAGAACATTTCAGACAGAAAAGAGAGCAGTAACCTTAAACATCTACACCATTCCTAAAAACCATGCTGTATCAATGTAATTCAATCTTGTAGGCAATCTTAACCCTTCTTAAATGAATTGTCATAATCTGGCATCATCATGGGCCATCTAAATTTAACCCTAAATCCCACAACAACAAAAATTATTATTTAAACGAATATTTAAAGAATGTTTAACTTACCAAGTCTCCCGTTCTGTACCACCAAAGCTGTTCAAACAGATATGGAGAAGAAAAAAAAACAAGAAAATAATAAGTCACAACTGATTTTAACAGAAAACCAATCACAGAGACAGAAAAACATAGAAAATGAACATAAGAGAAAAACAGGGCTAACAAGTAAGTATGATTCACCAGGAGGACCAAGATTTGCTCAGGTTTGATTGATTCATTTATTTCTTTATTCATTTATGGGAAGGAACATCCTAATCGGCACAATAGTTGTTTTTCATATACGGTCAAACCTGTCTACAAAGTCTTTGTAGACAGGTTCCTTTAGTAAATGTTTCAATGAGAAACCATTTTCAAGGAAACTAAAAATAAGGTCTTTGTAGACAGGTGTTATTTGTAAACAGGTGGTCACTAAAGCAGGTTTGACTGTACATATACTGTAGGTCCACTCAAGCATCAGTAGGCATAGTTGTAAACTGACCTCATACATCTACATACTGGAGCCCATATAGTTGAATGAATACTAGCCTAACTTTGTCAGGTTTTTATAAATAATGGCCCAGTAAGGTATTAAATTGTAATATATTACTCACACAGGCTGCAACCTACTCACCAGAAATGATATGATTACACAGCTGATGACTAAATTCACAAAGGGGAGATGAAACCTAAAGCCTCGGTCACAAATGCCATTACGAACTGCTACCAACGCCGTACGTATGATTTTCAGACAATAGAAATTCGGGAAGACAATGGAAAAACAGGGAGATTCGTACTCAATTATCGTTCGTACGAACCTTTGTGACTGTAGCATTATAAGCAACCTACTCACCAGAAATGATATGATTACACAGCTGATGACTAGATTCACAAAGAGGAGATAAAATGTGCCATCTCCTTTTCCTTTGATTAAGCAGAATAACATGGCCAGCTGTAAAACAAATGAAAGAAAGGAAAACATGAAGTTACATGAATCACTGCTACCAATATGGACTAGTTCTACGGATACAGAACAAAACATACACATACAGTTAACACACATTATCACATTATGACATTGACAACTATCCGGGATATCATCCCCTGAAAATTATTCCCTAAGAGCGATTACCCCCCTAGATCAAGTACCCCCTCAAAATTAACTACCCCCCTCCCACTAACTATCCCCTCTCTCTAACGTAATAACACTCCCCCCCCCCCCCCCCCCCCCCCAGACATATGTAGAAGTCAAATATTTCAAAATTTTCTTTGATTTCCAGGATATTCATGTCATTCTTCTGTAAATCCGCAAATGAAAACATACAATGTGGGTACACAATGCATTCTAGTGCTGTAGTCAAACGTTTAACTTTTTTTTTTTAAGTTTCGATTTATGCCCTTCCACCTGGCACTATGCCTGGCAATGTCTCCCAGCTCAGTAATCGGTGTGTTGACTCACCACTCAGAAACTAGAACGACACTCAAATTTGTCTGTCATCTTGGTTTGAAAGTAATCTTTGTAATAGATCTCAATATGTAGTTTATAATAATAATTCCTCCAATATTTCTTCTATTACACACGGCGTACCACAAGGTTCTATCCTAGGTCCTCTACTGTTTTTAATTTACATTAATGATCTTACACATTCTTCTAAAAACGACATTGTTACTATTTGTGACAAGTTCACAAGCACAAATCGGCGCCTTCAAGTGCACCTCGCAGTTACATGAATGTCCTTCCCGCGCGGGTTTTTTAACACAGACCTGGCTTGCTTCCGACGGAGTCGGCCCCCCCCCCCCAAAAAAAAGAACGTTTAAAGATAAAGACCAGTTATGGTAATGCGATTGCATTGTGAAAGAAACGTTGTGGAATCGATCAGAAAAGGTTGATCATCTAGCATATGAGTATTGGTGTGTACTGTAAGGTTCTGGAATCATCAAAATGATAAGAAATTTGGCCCAGTCTTCAGAAAGTTACAAGCACTGTACACAGAAAGATGTATATGGGACTACGCACACGTGCGCGACACATGCATTTATCTCTCACAGGCCAATAGATAAACTAATTTACCAAATATATCAATTAGTAGGTGGTTTCCCCGGCAAAATTTGTATCATCATGTATTAGTCAAAACATATTCTTTCACATGATTGGTAATAAGAGCTTCCATTTCATTTTTTGAAATTGGGGCGTTTCCAATACTGGTCTTTACCTTTAACCTTAAATCGTCCGGTTTTGACTGGCTGATAAACGGAATTGGAGATATCCGTGATGTTACAGCACTAATGCATTCAAAAGATACATCATTATTCATCAGTTTAGAGCTCTATAACCTTATGTTTGATAAACACACTAAGACACAGGAAATGTACACTAAGTAAGGCCTTGCATGGATATTGAATTGGAATGAACTTCTGTACACAGCAAGTATTCTGTGACAGTATCATACTATCTTCTTAAAAAAAATTATAGTGCAATTTCAATATTTGATTTTGCATTTTCCTTTTCCTTTTAAAGAAATACAATCTAGAATGCTGATGTTATGAATACTCTTAGGCTAATAATACTTTTACCAAATAGACAGTGTTATTTTTACATGCATGGTGACTGGTGTTCCTGGACTTTTTAAGAAATACTTACCGCTACCATGATAATAGTGATGCCTGAATATATCCTCCGCAACCATAGCTGAAATAACAAATGTGAGAGAGAGACAGAGAGAGAGAGAGACAGAGAGAGAGAGAGAGAGAGAGAGAAGAGAGAGAGAGAGAGAGAGAGAAGGAAAGAGGAAGATGAATGGGACAAAGAATCGCATGTTAACTTCTTCAAATTACTGTTTAAAAATCAAATTTGCGGATAACCAACCTGTCCAGACAACCATTATTTACATCGACTTGTTGCCGATGTCTGCATTGATGCATACAGTACAAAAATATTGAAGAAAAAATGGTTTATTTAGAGATTTTATTCCCAAGCCTTAAAATGCTATCTTTCACATAAAAAATCCCCAAATCAAATGTTTGTAAAAATGAATGAATGACAAGATACGTGATATGAGGGAAGCTTTTGTGTTTTCAATGTCCGGTGTCATTGACCATTGTCAATGAATATTACAATTAAATGGCTGCCTGGACAATACAGCATTATTTACAGGCCTACAGCCTTTAAATTTAATAGAGCCCTGGGGCCCGTTCCTTGAACCCAACAACAAGACAGTCATAACTTTATTCGCCAACTACGGAGATGTTTCTGATCTTCCTAAACTGTTCACGAAGAGCTTATTAGCTAGTATCTTGTGAAATCGATACTATCGGCAAAAGGAAGAGCCAAGACATAGCCTAATACTGCTTTCTAACTGGCTTCTATCGGATTCACACCGATGAAAATACTGATTGAATTTTCCTTATGTAAACAAAGGTGAAACCGCAGTTTTCCCCATGTCGCTTTCTAACTGCCGGTGAAATTCACTCGCTGTGGCGAGCCCTTGCCGGAAGTGAAGAATTATTGCGTAATTATTAAGCCCGCGCTCCATCTAGCTAGCATGCAGCATGTTAACTAAGTCAACAAACACAGCTTGTTACGATAAAGCGCGTATACTGCGACCTTTGACCATTTTAATCGCTGTTTTAATCGCCTTTTTCTCCCGAACGTTTTCTAACTGGCAGTTTCATCGGTGTCACACTGATAGAATGAGAATTTCTCCTACTCTTGAGCAGGAGAATTTAATCGCCTATTTCTCTTCTTTTCATCGGCTATTTAATCGCCTTTTTCTCCTCTGTTGCTTTCTAACTGGCCGTTTCATCGGATGCGTCCGGATGCATCCGATGAAAATCAGTGCAGTTAGAAAAGGGTATTAGTCGCAATACCACCGGATTATAAAAAAAAGTAATTTTAGGAAAACTGCAATTATTTAAATGAATTAGGAATAAAAAAGATTGAAAATGATACCAGGAAATAAGAGATTGAATTGATACAATTGAAGTACTTGTAAAATATAATTGTGAGTATTTCATTACATGACCGGTGAATCAGTTTTTTTCTTGAGATGGGTGCCCCCCGGATATTTTCATTTGATAGCTTATAAAATTCACCTTTATATTATTCTTAGAAAAAATATGATGTTATGAAATTTTTGTCCAATGTTTTAGGCGTCAGCACATTATCAAAATGACAAAACTTCAACATTCCAAACGTTGAAACACATGTTTTAAACTATTCAGTTTACACATTTGGATATAGAATTCATCTCAAAATTAATATGGGTCTGAAAAATAGAGAATACACTTCTGACTATGGCTTGCCTACCAGGAAGAAAACCCATCCCTTCGGGCATTTTACGATGTGGAAATAAAGGCGTATAATCAGTTTAGTTAAGTGGGAAAATCCTTGAATATAAACATGGCATATTTTCATAAGATTATCAAATATAAAAAATGATAACTCACCGTTTAAGTGAATAAAAATGTGGAGAAAAATCATAGTTAGAGGATTAATTGTCTTTTTTTAAAATGACATGTGATGGCGCTGCCCATCGACTAAAAAGTTATGACACTTGACAGAGATATGACGGTGTCTCCTGGGGCTCGTTCCTAGAAACCAACGACAAGACAGTCATAACTTTATCCGCCAACTACGGAGATGTCTCTGATCTTCCTAAACCGTTTCACAAAGAGCTTACTAGCTAGTATCTCGTGATATTATCGGCGAGAAGAGGAGCCGAGAATTAGCCTTAGTCGCAATACCACCAGATTATTACAAAATTAATATTAGGGAAAATGCAATTATTTAAGTGAATTAGTAATAAAAAAGATTAAAAATGATACCAAGAAATAAGAGATCCAATATACTTCCAAATTTGTGTAGATTAAACAATTGAAGTACTTGTAAAATATAATTGTGAGTTTTTCATTACATGACCAGTGAATCAGTTTTGTTGTTGAGATGGGCACCCCCCGAATATTTTCATTTGATAGTTTATAAAAATACACCCTTATATTATTCTTTGAAAAAATACGATGTAATGAAATTTGTGTTCAATGTTTTTGGCGTCAGCACAATATAAAAATTACAGAACTTCAATATTTCAAACGTTAAAACATATGTTTAAACCATTCACTTTGCATAATTGAAAATAAAATTCATCTCGAAATTAATATGGGTCTGAAAACTAAAGAATACACTTCAAACTATGGCTTGCCTGCCGTGGCAAAATACATATCCCTTCGATGAGTTTACAATGTGGAAATAAAGGCGTATAATCAGTTTATTTAAAGGTACTATGTCCCATTTGCAGGCCCAAAAAATGAAAAAGTTAAATTCCAACTGCATTTGAAAGATAATACTAATTTAGAACTTCCCTAAAAAAGGTGGGGCTTTAAAATGTCTTCAAGTGGGAAAATAACGACTATTAGTTGTCAAATCGACTTTAGGGCTATAGAGCCCAAAAGTAATAGTCTTGATTTTCAGACAATTGTACCAAATGGTCATACGTTTTATGCTGCGCAAAGATTCAATCAGTTTAATCTTGGCCATCACAAGAAGTGGGTTATTGATGTAGATAAATGCTCATGTACCCTTTACAACTCTTTTCATGTATGTTGTTAAACTTGTTACCAAAGAAGAAAACAAGCCAGTTAGACACTCAATAGCGTCTGACAGTGAAGTCTAGCAGGTAAACAGGTTTCCTTGCATAACTTGAATATGAGGACACTGCTAACGTTTACATTTCACAGATAGGACATACATGACATATATTCATAATTCCTGCAAAGTTCTACAGCATTTGACGTTGGCTGCAAAAGGGACATCATAGTACCTTTAAGGGGGAAAATCCTTAAATACAAACATGGCATATTTTCATGAGATTATCAAATACAAAAAACAATAATTCACTGTTTAAGTGAATGTGTAGAAAAATCATAGTTGGAGGATTTATTGTCCTTTTTTGCCAGCCATAGTCTACCCAATAAATGACATGTGATGGCGCTGCCCATCGACTAAATAGTTATGACAGAGATACGACGGTGTCAGAGGTGTCATAACTCCTTAGTCAGGATGTTGTCGTTGATCTTGGCAAAGAGGGCTTGGTGAAACACGTAGCGGACAAGTTGCTCAATAACGCTGATTTAGTCAAGAAGTTAGACTTATGACGGTTTGTAGGAACGGGCCCCTGGTCTCAGGCGTCATAACTTAGTCAGGATGTTGTCGTTGATCTTGGCAAAGAGGGCTTCGTAAAACACGTAGCGAACAAGTAGCCACTAATGCTGATTTAATCAAGAAGTTAGACTTATGACGGCTTCGAGGAATGGGCCCCTGGCCTAGCGGCTACTTACTAGCTGCAGTTGGCCATTTTTTCTTGTTGTGAAAATTATTTTGCTTTTGACTTGTTTGCCCCGAAAACTTTTGGAAGGTAGAAATATTCATTATGATTTTAAAATAAATTTAAATGAAAATATTGGAACATTTTACTCTTTAGAATATAAACAGGGATACTTCTACAGTGGGCTCCCCATGATACATCATAATACTAAGCCTAGAGTCTAGATCTAGATCTACATACGTACATTAAACAGGTCATTTAGTTTGATTGCATTGTCCAGTTCTGTTCCCACATGTACATATTGATGTAGTGTATTTCCGACTTCTAAATTCTATTCTAATCTTTCACGTTTTAAACTAAAATCACGCTCATTTAATCTACTCACCATCATCGGGGAAATTTCATGATACACTGGTCCAGACGGTGAACTGTCCATCTTGTCTGCTGTGCCTGTGCCGCAATCGAATACGGTATATCGCGATGAAATTAAACAAGATGACTGAATCTGATGAGTTTCGCTCGAGCCAAGTCTGTTGTGATCACATGACTGCGCTGCGCGTACGAGGTTGAGGCCGAGGTTAGTCGTACCCCCCCCCCCCCCCCCCCCCCCCCTCCCCCTCCCCCCTCCCCCGGCCCCTCGGGATAAACAGTTTGGATGGCCGATGATAGAGAGATAAATAGATATATAGCTAGATATAGATAGATAGATAGATGAATAGATATATGGTGTTTTTTACGAGATGATGATCTTGTTTTTTCTTCCTATGGGTAAATTCCACAGCTTTGCATGTTTGCTCGAATTAAAAAAAATGGAAAGAGTCCCATTTTGTTTCGTACTGCATTTAGGTAATCGTAGCATTAAACGTCCTCTCCTCTTGTTCTATACATTGTGATGGACCTATTGTATTAAGGAACGAACTCTTTGCAGTGGTGTACTGATGCCAACTATATGGGAGGGCATTACAAGACATTAGGGACTTTTAGATTGAGTAGACGAGAACACGACGAACGCCGACTGATCATATGCGTGTCAACGTACTCAACTGCCCATGTTGACAATTAGAAATCTTTTAGATTGCACTCGACGATATAAATGCATGCAGAAAGTAACACTATGAACATGACAGCTAGACAAAGAAAGAGGACAAAATATACAGTTCCTCATTCTACTCAGTCTCAACAATAGGCCATTTTCGTAATGTAACCAAATTTAATGCATATCCCAGGACCAAAATCCAGTTGAAACCAATTGGAGCAAAACCAATTGAAACCAGTTGCCAACTGGTTTCAATAGGGAAATTGGAACAACTGGTTCCAATTGAAACCAGTTGCCAACTGGTTTCAATTGAAACCAGTTGAAACCAATTGCCAACTGGTTCCAATTGAAACCAGTTGAAACCAATTGCCAACTGGTTCCAGTTGCCTAATTGGTTTCAACTGGAACCAGTTGTTCCAATTTCCCTATTGAAACCAGTTGGCTTCAATTGGTTTCAATTGGTTTCAACTGGTTTCAATTGGTTTCAACTGGTTTCAATTGGTTTTAATTGGATCCAATTGAAACTTACAGTTGGCATAAACTTAATTAGTTATAAGTTAATTAGCTCTTGCACTAATTATCGCTCATGTCAACGAAGAAGCATTATTATATGTGTCTACATTAAGTACAATGTAAAGGGCATCATAATATGCAGACCATATAATGTACTTACAAGTGTGTGTGTGTGTGTGTGTGTATTGGGTTTTTACAGACGTGTATCAATCAGATATGATTATTTACGTCTGGGACCGACCTTTAAACGTCACCATCCGAAAGACGTGACTCAGTTTCGAACCTGCGTCCTCGGCTGAATCAGTTTGTAACTTCCACTTTTTAGCTGGATTACAGGCGCACGCCACAACGCCTACTTTTTTTTGGTGGACAGTTGCTAAAATCGATTTTGATTGATCATTATTGATTTACCAATTTACCAACAAGGAAGGCATTGCCATTATATATTTTTGTATTTGATGTATTTTGTACATGGTTAGTGTTTTACTAATCAACTTTTAATCTGTGTAATTACAAAAATATGTAACTAATGAACATGCTTATCATTGCTAATAAATCTTTATATTTATCTAAAACAAATGCATTACTTGCAAATGAAAATTAATTGATAAGTACATTGTAAATCAAAATAAATTACATAAAACATTGATCTGCACACAAGCAGATAATATGCAAATTAACTGGTTTCAATTGGATCCAGTTGGGTAACTGGAAATATTTCCAATTGGAACCAATTGTGCAACTGGAAATGAATTCTAACTGGAACCAGTTGGGTAACTGGAAATTACTTCTAACTGGAAATGAATGCTAACTGGAACCAATTGGGTAACTGGAAATGAATTCTTACTGGAACCAGTTGGGTAACTGGAAATTACTTCTAACCGGAAATGAATGCTAACTGGAACCAGTTAGGTAACTGGAAATAAATTCTAACTGGAAATGACTTCTAACTGGAACCAGTTGGGTAACTGGAAATGACTTCTAACTGGAAATGAATGCTAACTGGAACCAGTTGGGTAACTGGAAATGAATTTTAACTGGAACCAGTTGGGTTACTGGAAATGAATTCTAACTGGAACCAATTGGGTAACTGGAAATGACTTCTAACTGGAAATGAATGCTAACTGGAACCAGTTGGATAACTGGAAATGACTTCTAACTGGAACCAATTGGGTAACTGGAAATGACTTCTAACTGGAAATGAATGCTAACTGGAACCAGTTGGATAACTGGAAATGAATTCTAACTGGAACCAATTGAGTAACAGGAAAATCATCTTACTGTTTCCAGTTGAACTTCTAACTGGAACCAGTTGGGTAACTGGAAATATGACTTCTAACTGGAAAAATTACCTTACTGGTTCCAGTTGCACTTCTTATTGGTTTGAACTGGAAATGAGTACCCATAACAATATTTTCCAGTTCGGCAATTGGTTTCAACTGGAAATTTTATATTCCAATTGAAACCAATTGAAACCAATTGAAACCAGTTGAAACCAATTGAAACCAGTTGGAGATTTCAACTGGTTTCAATTGGATTTTGGTCCTGGGTAGGTCTTTGTGAAGTGCCTCGATACAAATTATTTCATTCACCTGATAGAAATAATAGTATTTCAATAGTCAGAATGCAACTGCATATATTAAGTGTTGCTAGGTAGGTCAAGTCATAATTTTTGTCCAACCTGGCAACAACTAATGTATGCAGTTAGGATTCTGTCTATTGAAATACTATTATTCTTATCAGGTGAATGAAAAGTTTGTTTTGAGGCACTTCACAAAGACCTTTGCATATTTGGTTACATTACGAAAATGGCCTATTGCTGTGGTAGAACATCCCTTCACCGCTATTATGTAAACATGTGTAGAACAGGTGAATATGCATGTGACACCTGTTCTACACATTTTTACATAATAGCAGGGAAGGGATGTTCCTTTGCGCACGCGGCATACCGTACTAGATTTAGGAAAATCAAAGTTGACGCATTTTCGATCGCCGTCTAAGACGACGTGACGCATGCGCAGTGCCTTAAAATGACGTCACACGTTGCAGTCAAAGATGTCAACGTGCAAATCTAAAAGTCCCTATTCACTAAGGAGCCCGAAAAGACAGGTGAATACAGGTGAATAGAATAGGTGAAATGAAAGTAAAATAGCGAGTTAGATAAAAAAAAAAAAAAAAAAAAAAAAAAAAAAAAAAAAAAAAAAAAAAAAAACACAGATATAGACCCCTACAGAATGAATCCCCCCTCCAAATTTCCATTATCTGCACATAAATACAGTTTTAAAATATCTAATAAGAGATTCCTTGTTTCTTTGAGTGTACTTAGGATGCTAAGCTAGAGGCAATGTGAGCATGTAGATGACTCCGGTCAACATGTGTAAAGCTGAGACACAAAATGATTAATTAAGTATTGTATTTCCTAATCAAAATATAGATCACAGCTTGCAAGTACGTAGGGGGGGGGGCAAAGAAACAGGCATTGATAACATCTTATTACATTGAAACTGCTGTTGCTGCTGCATATTTATAATGATTACATGTAAAATAAAGTAGCCACTTGAAATTTTTTAACATAATCAGGAAAATACATTCAGACATTCAGTCACTTTTCGAAGTTGAAAGAGTGAATATTTTCCATCGTGATTAGGCCTAAAGGACTGCATGTTAACGAATTAATATCGGCTTAATAATGTTTATTTCTGTGATAATTATATAGAAAAGGGGTTTAAGACTTATTATAAGTGGGTAGGCCTATAGGCTAAACTAATTAATGGACCAATTATTAGCAGGACAAAACTGAGAATAGTATAGAAAGGACACAGAGTCCATCGCGGGAGGAGCAATTTTTTTCCACTACGACTTTATCTAAATGCATGATCAATAAAATCTAGTCAGCTACAATCAGGGGCGTAAATCCGTACGGAGGAGTGGGGGGGGGGGGGGGGATGATCGGCAATCCATAACATACTAGCACGAGCACACGCCAACACCAATTTACGCAAGCGCGCGTGATCGCGCACGCACAAACACAGAACACACACACGCACACGCACACACGCACACACGCACACACACACACGCACACCCACACACACACGCACACACACACGCACAAATGAAAAAACATCAAACACACAAATACCAAAACCATGGACTTATTAGAATAAGTCCATGCCCAAACACATGTACATAAATTTAGACATGCATGTACATACATGCAAGCACATGCCAAATTTGACACCCATGAAGTAAAAGAATTGGACATATTTCGAAATACTGACAGCTGCAAACTGTAGGGTAAGAGGAGACTTTTTTTTTTTTTGGTATCGAAATTTGAAATATTGACATTTTGCTCCGTTGGGGGGGGGGGGGGGGGAGTAAGGTCACCTTTTTTAGGTCAATCATAAGAATAATTTTTTTTTTTTTTTTAATACTTAAAAAAAAAAAAAAAAAAACAAACAAACAAACAAACAAAGGGGAGAGGGGGTGTCAGGGGGTTTAAGGGGGGGGGGGTTACACACATAAAAATACAAAAAGGGGGAAGTTTAAACCCCCCCCCCCCCTCCCCCCCCCTCCCCCCCCCCCCCCCCCCCCCCCCCCCCCCCCCCCCCCCCTCTGTGTACCCGCCTGCACTTGACCACTGTGCTTCACCGTTATTAACTTGTTCGGTTCAAGATGTTAACACTTCTGATGTTAATTTCTTTAAAAAATATGCTGATGAACTAATTTTACTCCTTTGTTGAGGAAGAGGGGGTGTCCCCTAAACAAAAAAAGGGAAGGACAAATCAATTTGAAGAAAAATTGATTAAAAAAAACACGAGGTAGAAAGGCAAAGCCGGGAATCGAACCGAGTACATCTGCATTGTGAAGCGATGTCTTATCCACATTACCACAGTGCTTCACTGTTATTACCTGTTCGCTTCAAATAGTTAATACGTTTTTTTTAAATATGCTGATAAATTACTTGTACTCCTTTGTTGCGGAGGAGGGCGTGGC